GACTCTTTAAAGTAGAGACACTACATACTGATATACACCTGAACATCAGCAGGAGAGGACTCTTTAAAGTAGAGACACTACATACTGATATCCACCTGAACATCAGCAGGAGAGGACTCTTTAAAGTAGAGACTCTACTTATCTTATGTTTCACTCTCAGTACGCAGAGAAATCGAAACGCTGAACGATCGTTTGGCTGCAGATGGACAAGCTTTCGAAGGAGCGGATTTAGCCAAAGGAGCCCTGAAGACAAAAGGTGAGACGCAACAAAACATTTCCCACCATTTAGTTCGCAGAAAATAATTACATTTATGTGGCAGAGACATTATGTTAACAATCTCTGAACTGACTATTTGGTTTTGATGATAAAGCCTCAAGTTAGATTTATAATTTGATATATAATATACATATATAAATAAGTAATTTAAGAGCTCAGTTAAAATAGAAAAAAATGTGTAACTTCATTTTGATACTTTTTTTCACCTTTAAGGAAATCAGTGAACAAGTGTTTTTAAATGAATGCAGGCTCATTTAAAATGCCATTTATAAACAGGAATGTTTATATTAGTCCCTAAATTAAATTAAAATGCATTTTATTGCTGCCTTGTATAGGCGGCGCTTGAGGCTCAGGTTTGGGAAGGCTAAATAACTTGTTTTACCTGACGCTGCCCGCCTCCGGCATCAAGAGATCAACTCAGTGAAAGCACCGCCTGCTAACCAATCAGAGCTCAGTGTGCGGAGTTTAAATCTATCAAGTCATATTACAGGATAGGGGAAATACAGTTTGAACTGCCGTATGTGTCGCACTTATCATTCATATCACATCATATCACATCATAATGTATCATATATCTCCTTATCTGAGTCAGCTGAGCCGTATCTGGCCGTGCAACACTCACAGTGTCACATACTGTATGCAGAAGTATTATTTTAAGCAACACATTAAGTTGAGGAAACACTCGAGTCAAATGTAATTAAAGTCAGATGGTGTCTTAGACGGGGCAGTGATATCATAAACCTGTTAATGTACGCATTCAAACACTTTTTCTGTTACCAGCTGTATTATGTGGCTTTTATCCTGGACAAAGTGTTTAAGTCATAATAGTTTACTTTTCATTCAGGAAGTATGACGCTGCGCTGTCAGTACGCTTCTCCCTGTTTGTGATTGGTCAAAGGTTGCTAACCCCACCCCTTTCACGTGAACGCGCTCTCAGCCGGAGAGAGAAACCCTGGGTCGATTTACCGAGTTGATAACCAGCGTCGTAGGACCGCTTAGCGAGATCTCTTTGTTAGGGTTAGTTAAGATAACTCAAAGATATCAGGGTCTGTTGAGCTGGATTCAGAGTACCGGCCTCTGGTGGCTGCATATCAACGCTAATGTTAATATTTTAATGTTACCAGGATGCAGGGACAAAAATATTTGGGAAGGCTTAGCTTTCCCTAGCCTCCAGTACCCGCAGCCTTTGCTTAGATGTGCTGTGCTTATTTTTGACCTATTTTCTAATTACTAATTGATATCTTTCTATCAGCGAGTCATAGCACGAGCCAGCTGTCACAGAAACTGAAGACGACCTACAAGGCTTCCACAAGCAAGGTATAATCTGTTTAATATTTGTATTATTATCCAGAAGATGTTGTGTGTTCATTTGTTTTGAGAACGTTGATGTGGAAAAAAAATTGTTTCTCTATCAAGTACGCTAAAATCCAAAATGTGGTTTAATTGGCTCCTTCGATGTCCATCAGTGCACGATCCATTCTTTTTTTTTATGTTTAAGAACAGAACTGAACTGCTGTGTTTCTTCGCCTCTTTGCTCCGAAAATGTTGTGTGTTCATTTGGTTTTGAAAAAAACCTTTCTCTATCAACCATCACATGACTTTTCTTTGAATGTTTAAGAACAGAACTGCTGTGTTTCTTCACCTCTTTGCTCGTAGCCGCGTTCAAACTCTTGCCACGCCAGAGTAGGTGGATCCCGCAACTTCAGCGTTACCAGCTGGGAGTTGTGGGGTGGAGACTCATGGGTAATTTGTCGCTTTTTCCCCCCCAAACCCCTCCCCCCATTTGTGCCAAAATGCATGAGCAGCCCAGCCACGGGGTCGACTCCCCCTCCCCGAGAGACTTGGTCAATCAAATGTAGGAGTTTGAGCTTTTTTATCATCTGGTGTGAGATAAAACTCGACCTCATTATCTCACTAACAGGCTTTTCAGTTGCAGCTCTTTGGTTTTCATTCAGCTTCTTCACATAAATGGTACAAACGTGCTTTTTATGCCACGATTAATGCAATATTCGAATGGTGGAGGGCCGATTTGTTGGTTCAATGATCAATTAAGGATGAATTGCACGGCTGTATTTTATAATTGATTTTAATCCTTTGATTTGAGACGTTCATACATGTTGAAGCTGTTTCTGCTGACAGAGGAATACAGGCTTACTTACTATTAAACATGTCAATTCAGTTTGTTTTGGTTTTATTTGCCAAGAATTCAAGATTTCTGCCTAAAACCCAAATGTTCTACCCAACCAATATTGGGTATCCTAAGCCAATAGAGATATTTGGGTCTTTATGACCTTGTGTACTATTTGTTTATATATATATAAATGCTTAACTCATATATTATTTACCAAAGACACAATATGTAAGGAGAGGAATATTTTTACAGCTGATTATATTTCTAGTGAGCAAACTACAGAGACACAGCTTTTCTAAATAACAAACATATATTTTTAGCATTTCTCTCCCAAAATATCTGCAATAACATTAGCCAATAGGGCGACTGTGGCTGCGAGGGAGTGCGGTCGTCTTTCAACCGGAAAGGTTGTGGGTTCGAGTGCAGCCCGTGCAGCCCACATGTCGATGTATCCTTGGGCAAGATACTTAACCCTGAGTTGGCCAACGGTGTATGAATGTTGGTTCCTAGTAAGGTACACTGCTCTGTGTGAATGGGTGAATGACATGTAGTATACAAAGCGCTATATAAGTACAGTCCATTGCCTGGATAAAGCGCTATATAAGTACAGTCCATTGCCAATATCATACTTTAGCTACTCTTCCATCACAAGGAAAGTGCCAACATGACCAAGGTTGAATACTGATTAGAGCATCTATTGATATAACTGAATTATTGAAAGTGGTTGTCAGTCACTGTTGAGTTTACTCTGTGCGTTAGATTTAATTAAAGCTTCTTTTTCAACGCTTTTTGCTTTTTGTTAAACTATTAACCTTTCATTTATCACATTATCACAGAGCATCTGTCAAACCCTAACCTGGCAAAATCATGTTACATTTAATGCAAATAAATAAAACATGACGTCATTTACATTAGAAATAAACCTGCCACGCTGCTTGCTGGTTTCCAACGTGCTAAAGTGTAAATGATATCTGTTTATTCTTCCTATAATTTGTTGATTTAAATACATATTGTTTACAGATGGAAAACTGTTAGCAAATGCTCTGTTTTTTGTGTATTAGGTATTTATTTTTCACCTGAATGATGCCGTTCTCTTTGCTCTCCTGCTTCCTTTCAGTTGGAATTTAGTTAGTGGTCTGTTCCCAAAACGAACCGAGGGTCGAGTTTGTATCATCCCCATCTTCAATGTAAACTCTTTGATAAACCTGATATTAATCACTGATCAAATTCTTATCATAACACAGTATGTTTTGCTTCTTCTTCCCCTTCTACGGTTTTATTTTTTGCATCTATAGTAACCCTGGTATGATGAATGCAGGCACTGAAACTCAATGATTCTGCATTTGTGTTGATACCAGATCTGGGTCGTTCGTGGTGTTTGTTTTTAGAGCATCCGATTGGTGGCAACCCCACGAAACAAGCTTAAAACAAACACCAACAAAGATGTGTGTTTGTGAAAGCTCTTTGAACCCAGGACTGATATGAATAACGCTGTTTATAATCAAAGCTTTTTTTAGCCCTGCGTAATACACGGACCCCGCTGACTTCTGTTCCTTTGACCCGCCTCCTCCCTCTGTCACAGCAGGGTTCCTACACAGCAGTGCAAGAGTCTGGGCAATTTCAATTGAATCATTCCCAGCCCTAAAAGTGTGTGTGAAATAATAATAATAATAATAACTTCGATTTATATACGTAGTGCTTTTCAGAGGACCCAAGTTCGCTTTACAGCAAAAAACAGGAGTAAAACAAACGTAAATTAGAAAAAACTGTGGAAATGTTGAAAACCAAGTATTTTAGGTAAAGTTTCGTGAAAATGAATTGATAGTACTGTATATACTTTAATGATAAGATAAGATGTACTTTATTATTAATCCCAATTTAGGAAACACATGTTGTTGCAGCAGCATAAAACCAAACGAGGCATTGCACATAATAACAAATTAAAAGAGTAGAAATAACTAATTCTAAAATAGAAACATCTCAACATAGAAATTGAATGAAACCAGCGTTAGAGAGTAAGAGTGATATACAGATGACCGCGAAGATAGAAAATCTACAAACTGTCCGACAAATAATAAATAAATAATAATAATGATCCCAAATTTGGAAATGGTGTTGGGCTTCAGCAGCGTTATAAAGGCATTTCACAAGAGGTAGTAGTAGCTGCAGTCTTTCTAATTAACAATGAAATGCATCGAGGTAGAGTGTGAGCACAATATGTCAGCCGTCTAAAAGTCACTCATTTCATTCCAAAAGGTGTTGAGTTAACCCTCATGTTGTGTTCGGTCTCCCGTGACCCGTTTCAAGTTAAAATGATATAATAACTACACTCTAGTTTTTTGTATCGGAACCAGGCTTCATGAGATCCTCCACAGCAGATATATAAACACTACAAACCTGATTTTGACAATTTTTGCCAAGTCTGAAGGTCTCTAAAAAAAAAAAGGGTGTATAATTTGGTGTTCGAGTCTGGGGAGACCCAGCAGAATTGTTTTGGGTCGAGCTCGAGGTCAAATTTGGCCAACTCCAAGATATCTTTGACTTTTAGACCCCCCGTCCCTGCCTCCCCCTTCATCCACTGTAACAATATTTTTTCTCAACATGCACCTGGTCTCCCCTCCCTCTGCCCCCCTCCCCCCACGGGAACTCCACCTTTCTCAAAGAATATGTACACTAACGCTTGAACCCTGAACTCACATATGCACGTGTGCAATATGTGGTGTAATGTGTTTGGGGTCATAACATTAAATTACAACAGGATTGTACGGTTATGAATGCATTATAAGTGAGTTATGATGTAGTTAAAACAATGTTGGATGATAGTCTTTTTTCTTTTGTGTTTTAGACTGAGATAAATCATGGGTCGAAATTGACCCGCGGGCACCATGAGCGGTAACAGCTTTTGAACACAACACAAGGGTTACAAGAAATAGGCCTCAATCATCTCTAATAATGAACAGTGTTTTTTAGGGTCTTTCTTAGGGCTGCAAGATTTTACGGAAAACATGAATTGTGATTTGAAATATGAGGACTTATCTGCAGCTCAACAAAATGTAGTCTTTACCAAATATTGAGCTTACTGCCATTTAGATTTTGCACTCATTGCATTGTTTCAATACATTCTGCAGCACTAGTCTTAAACCACCAACAATGCAAAGTCCACTCCTCAATTTCTAAAAGAATCGATTGAATTTACTGAAACGTGTCCGTATAATTTCCCACACACAACAAAAAGAGATGCCGTCTTGGGAAGCAACGTGTGTAGGAACCCTGTTAGGTTCACCGAGGTTTTCTTCAGAGTTAACGTGATATATTTGTGCCGGTGTCAGATTGTCTCCAGTTTCAAAGCGACCACGTCCAGAGCGGTGTGTCAGCTGGTGAAGGAGTACGTCGGCCATAGAGACGGCATCTGGGACCTGAGCGTCACCAGGACTCAGCCGATGGTGCTGGGAACGGCTTCTGCAGGTAATTCACTCTTTTTCATCCTAAATATATAAACTAGAGTGAGTCTGGCAGCAGGGGCGGATTTAGGATTGAGATCCGGGGCTTAGCCAGCATTTAGAAGTTGTTAAAGGGGGGGGGGCTCATGAAATTTTGAACTCGGCGGCCGATCGATCGGAGCATCCCTAATTATTATGGTGACGTCACATAGGCGTGGCTTGGGCCTTTTAATAGACGACAGGTGCTCACGATGAGTGGAAGGCAAACAATTGATGAACCGCACGATAGAGACCGCGTGGTGAATGAGAAAATGTACCCAAGATATATACGCCGTATGGCTTCGAATCTTTTGTTTAAGAGTTTAGAGTTTTGTTTAGTATTTTGTCAGTTTTTCTCTAAATAAACGGCGATATCTGATCATTAATTTGCATCAAATGAAGTGTCAGTGTTCCTAGTTTTCAATCATTTATTGTTGAAAATGTCAGGGCTTCTTTCTAATGGTTTCATCACGATATGATTTACAGTATATATCGATTTCTTTGGACATTGATACGGTATTTGAGGATATAACTAAGTTTTCAGTCCAACTCAGGGCCCTCCAAAGAATATGACATGATTTTATTTCATATGTATTTAACACATTACTTCAATTTATATCAAACAGAAAAAGAAAGCTTGATATCATTTGACAGTTTTGGTTTTATGAAGCAACTCCTTTCATGCTAAACATAACTTCAGAAAGTCTGCATTCAAACAGTCTGTACGCATCAAGCCAACCTCTGTTCAATGAAGACATCAGTAAACATGTTTTCAGCTTTAATCTGTTTTGTGTCCATCTTGTGTTTGAACAGACCACTCTGCCATGCTGTGGAGCATTGAGACGGGAAAATGCCTCCTCAAGTATATGGGCCACCAAGGATCAGGTAGAGTTAGACATTTAAAAAACATACAACAGAGAGATCTTATTAAACCTATTTGTCGAATTAAAGACCATTATGTTTCTGTTTGCCAACACGATGACCTTCTGAATCCAGTCCCTAGCACTCAAGTTGTGCTCTCCGTATTAACTCTTCAATAAAAGCTTATTAGAAGCGTCAGATAATTAAAGGTCAGGGTTCAAACTAACGTACTATTCATCAGTTTGACTAATTCACCTCTGTTTCCACAGTCAACTCCATCAAGTTCCACCCCACTGAACAGATGGCTCTAACAGGTAAACAACCTTCAACATACTCTTCGTGTGTGTGTGTGTGTGTGTGTGTGTGTGTGTGTGTGTGTGTGTGTGTGTGTG